ACATTCAAAGGACTGACGATTTTGAGTTTTATAAGTGGGAATTGGAAAATGCACAAATACACAGGTACACTTTTTCTGTTTAATCAGATATTACCAAACTAACCGGGTTATTATATCGTTAAGTTTGGCAATGTCTCATTAAACAGAAACAGTGTAAATTCATAAAAAAGGTGCATAAAAATGGGAACGTATAATTTCTAATTAGTGCATTAGATTAGCATTTAATTAAACGAAAATTTCAATGTAGATATCATGATAACTTGTGCATTTTTCAAGTAATGTTCTGCTAACTTTATCTAAAGCTGGAGGAACATGTTTTTTTTTTTTAAAGTTTGCAAAATTTTTAATCAGTGCATGTAATTAGCATTTCATTTGTATTCTGCTGGCCTTGCTCTTCTATTTTTTAGGGATATTCTTTACCATGTGTTATTAAAAATTTCGCGAAACTATAAAAAAATGCATAGGTATGCATATCTACCGCATAACATCCCGCATACGAATTTCGCACCAAATTACATTCCGTATATGAGTTTGGCACCTCGCCGTTCATTGGTTTAAATTCGACCGCATGGTGCGACGAACCAATAGCAAATGCCTGGGTGCCAAATAGATATACGGAATGCTTAGATGCCTCCCGTACCCGTACGTGTAACGTAAAAAAACTCGAAACTTGGAGAAATCGTTCATATTTTTGTCACTCGTGGTGTCGTAAATTGAAGAAAAAATAGCCAGTGTGGTTAGCGAAAAAAAGTCTTCCTATGGCGGCCGGCCTACAACAGAGCATGCCTGCGGCCAGCCTTCATCATTATGAAACCCTCCCCCCCCCTCCCCAAATAAAAAACCTGGGTGCGCCACTGCAACTTTTCAATGATAGAACGTCACCTTCTGAATGACAGGTCACCACACAACATACAATGTTGAAAATTATGAACACTCTGAAATTATGCTTGGAAAAATGGCGACCGTTTACAAAACATGTTTGGTTTTAACACAAATTCAACGTTCAGCAGAACAATCGCAAATCGTTTACCAACGTTTGTATCTGTTTTTTATTTCAAGATAATTTCCCAAGTCAAAAATTTAGTAACTATGTTGGCAACACAAGCCTTTTCTACATAAAAAATTTAAGAGCACTGACAATTTTAGATTGTATTGCCAACATAATGTCATTTTGACTTCTATCTTTAAAAAAAAAAACTTATCGAGCCTATGATGATTATGATGCTGTCAGAGTCAGATCATAATCATATCACAGCATATACAAAAACAATCAGCAGGCTAACTCTCACGCGCATCTTTTCTGCGCACGCCGCCATTAGGGGATACCATTTTGTCATAACGCTGTCATTAAACGGCAGGAGCGCCGAAATTTTATTTTATTTGTTTATTTCTCACGGAGGTCATAGGCGTGCGGTGTAGAGCGGAATCTTAGATATGATTTTCAAAACGATTTTGATGTATTCGTGTTGTCATTTATGGTGTTATCTGTTATCATTCTTATATATTCAATAATAATAATAAATTAGTAATTATAAACATTATTATACGTAAGTAATAATAAATTAGTTTATTTAAAGCCAATACGACTCTGTCACAGGAAAGAAAAAATCTAAATTATCGTTAATCAGGCCCTGTTTCGTATCCCAAAATGGCCGCTATTGACATTTTGATGATGAGTTCCTTTATTACACGGGCTGTCACTCAAGTTAGCCTGCTGATATCGTACAGTATCGCGTACACATCCCTCCGTCGTGTTTCGTTTTTTCCTGCTTTCAAATTCATAGTTAATTTGTGAAATTTCGCAACGTTTGTGCTTCATTTTTGATCTACGTATACTGCTGAATAAGTCGTGTATTCAACAGCTGCAATTTAGGTGTTTCTAGTTATTTATCCCATTGTTCTCAGTCCGCATTGCTCAAAAATCATATCAAGGTTACTTGGATAAAAATTGAGTTATTTGAATCAATTTATTTGGATAAAAAAAAATAACAGCCACAAATGGTATAAATTTTAAGAAGCAAGAAGATCTATAGTGCGTTTCACCTGAATTGAATACCGTTTTACCTGGGATTTTTACCATAATTTGTCTGTCCCACATAACATTCAGTTTTGTGGCTCGAGTTATTGTAGATGTAGAGCCCGTATTCAGCATAATGTCGGCGTGCTTAAAATGTCTTATCGATTTGACAGAGAAAGAGGTGGAATATAAGATAATCTGTGACTTCTGTGGTGTCTGGAATTGCTTGGCCTGTTCAAAATTCTCAACCTCAGAGGCTCAGGTGTCACGGCCAGAGTTATGCTTTATGCATGCAGTGGCTGAGTAAATTCCGTCAAGTCACTAGGAAATGATGTTGGCGGTGGCTTGAGATTGCTTATCAAGGATGTCACCAGTGAGGTGTGTAACACACTTTACAATTAACTTGCAGGTAAGCTCAAGGGTATGGAATCATCCCTTCAAGACAAGCTCACTGCTATGATGATTTAAAATCGAATCTGAATGTTGTTACCAACAGCGTTGGTAAACTCAAAGCCGTTCTTTCTTCACTGGAAAAGTGAAACACTGCTGCAGGCGATAATCTTTCGGAAATAAATAACGCCAGCCTTGTCATGCCCAACTCAGCAGAATCTGCTGTTTATGATATGAAAATAAAGGAACTGGAACAAAGTAACAAAGATTTACAGACTAGGCTAGTCAAGCTTGAAAATAAGATCCAGCTACTAACTGCAACCCTGAATTCCATAAAAACTGTATCAAACCCTCCTTCACCAACCCCATCTCAATTCCAACCTACTCTACAGTAAGTGCCCATTAGGAATGAATCAAGAAGCTTTAAATTAAATCATCCAATAGTGTACAACTAACTAACAGTCCGCAGCATAGAGCGCCAATCAGTGCCTAATCCAGAAAGAGTATCGGAGCGCTCAAATAACAATCCTGTATTAATCGGTACCGGTGCCGATAGAGGTCTTTTCTCTGCAGGTGAGAGGCATCAGTGGATATATCTAGGACGATTTGATCCGAGTACCACCAAAAAACAGATCTCTGACTATTTGTAGGATCAGCTTTCCATTCCTGATGTCAAATGCTCGGTATTGGACAAAAATGACGATGTGGTTTCATTTAAAATTGGGGTAAAAGAATCATTTTTGAAGGGCCTGCTAGATCCAAACCACTAGCCTGTAGGCATTGCTGTCAAGAAGTTTCATCCTCGTCCTATGGGGGCAAAACCCTCTACAGCAAATTTTCAGAGGGAAGAAAGATCGGACCAGTCTCACAAGATGGTGCTACCTTTCTGTACAAAAATGTAAGAGGCCTAAAAACTAAGCTCAAAGATGCTTTCTGTGCTGCTTGCGCCGAGACTTTCTCAGTGATTGCACTTAAGGAAAACTGGCTGGACTGTAGTATCTGTGATGCTGAATTTCTTGACTTACGTTACACGGTTTATCGCTGTGATAGGAGCAGTCTTAACAGTGCTAAAAGCCGTGGAGGTAGGGTGCTTTTGACAGTGAATAATTGCTTTAAATCTCATCGTCTGTCAATTGGTAAAGCATCGGTGGAGGAAACATGGGTGTCAGTGACGCTAGGTGACTTGGTCTTCTGTATTGGCTGTGTCTACATTCCAACTACCATGGATGTTCCGTATTATGAGAACCACTTGAAATAAGTTGCGAGTGTCTGTGAAATGTTTGATAATGTGCTTGTTCGTGGAGATTATAATCTTTCTCAAATAACGTGGTCCACAAGTGAGGATCTCTCTGGTTTAGGTATTACCTGGAAATGTAGGGTCAACTAAGGAAATATTGTTATGTGATGGTACTGCCTCTCTTAATCTATCTCAATACAATGGGGTGACTAAACGATCAAGGTTCAATCCTGGATTTATGCTTTGTCAACTTTGAGCTTGTTTCAACTGTAATATCTGATGGTCTGGTGGGCTGTGATCGTTATCACCCAACTCTAGAGTTTTCCATACCTGTTGAGAAAGCTAAATTTCTGAAGCCTCTTAATTATTTTTCCTATGACTTTAAAAATGCCAATTACAATGTAATTAATGAATATTTTCTTTCCTTTGATTGGCGATCAATTATGACTGAGGATCTAAACGAAACTATTAATAACTTTTTTTTACTACTAACCTGAGAAGTAGTCATTATTCCATCAATTTTTTTGGGAAAAAATTGAATTTCTCTCCCTAGGTTAATAATGAAAATAATGAAAAAATACCTAGGTCAATAATGAAAATGACGTCATGACGCAAGGATATTGTCATAACTTAACAGGTTTCTATTGGGATTTCAAGAGAAGCGATACTCTATCTGGTGGTCAATTATGGAACTATTTTGTCGGCGATTATATTCTAACCTAACTTTTATTGTCCCTTTGTTTACTTGTGAACATTGCGATTTTCCTGTGCTCTTTATCATAATTTAATTCGTTTTTGATTGTTTTTGTCGAATCTGTTGGTTATTTTTTGTTAATTTTGATCTGTGTGTGTACTAGCCCAGTGCCCAGTTAGTTTTTGTTATTATTTGTTGTCGTTAGTTAAAATGAGCAAATCATCCGGCCACTACTGCTGTGTTCCACAGTGCAAATCTTGGTCCAAAAAAGACATTGATAAGCAACTAAGCTTTCACAACTTTCCTGCCGAAAATTCCCAAAAGGTCAATTGAAGAGTTTGGGGCAAAAAGCGGTCAAAGACCAAATTTGTCAAAATCGAGATTTCGTCAGATTTTGCATTAAAAATATACTCTCCATCGTCTGGAGCAAAAACCGTCCATGTATTAGCATCAAAATAGCATTTACTTACACATAGCCCTTTTATTGCACCAAACGTGTTGATGGACCGGGTAGGCGCATGTAATAGTTTGTGTCAAAAAGCGTCCACGTGTTGCACATGACCGTTTGTTGCACCAAAAGTCCTTGACCTATATATTTGCTGTTATTCTAACCTCAAAGCGCTCAGTACAGGTTCACACAAGGCACACGATCTTACTTAAAAATGAGTGATTATTTAAGTGATACAAGTGATACTGACCCTTTCCATAACTCAGATGATAGTGACAAGGACCCTGACTATGTAGATTCAAGTGATAACGAAAATAATCAAGGTAGGAAGTTTTTTTTTTTTTTTGTTCTGTTTGTAAAGCTACTATTTTGGTAAAATTTACAGGATTCACAGCACAAGCTCCTAGTTCAACAACTGATACTTCCGAAGATGAATTTGATGAAGACCAAGCAGGTATGCTTTAAAAAAATAAATAATTGGATATTCTAAAAGATGATTTATTGTTATTTACAGGGCCATCCAGACCACATGTTACTACATCCAGAACTGATACTTCTCATATTACTGCCAACGACGAGATTATTGAAAACGAAGCCGGTAACTATGCGATTTTTTTAAGCAATTTGTTAATCTGAAAGTGTTATTTTTATTTTAGAAAACAACGACGCCGGAATGGAAACTAAAACTAAGAAAAGAAAAAGAAGGCCTGAAAAATGGAAGAAAAATATAAATAAACTAAAAAGAAATTCAGGCAAACAGTATATTAATAAAAAGGGTATAGTTGTCTCGGAAAAGAGGTTGGGTCCTAGATGTCAGTGCCGTGGGAAATGTTTTGATATTTTAACAGAAGTTGAGAAAAACACAATATTTGGAAACTTTTACTCCATGCAAGATAAAAATATTCAGGACTCATACTTGGGTGCACTTATAGATGTGAAAAAGGTAGTAAGGAGAAGAAAAACCACTGAGGTTGAAAAAAAAATCTATTCCTATTACTACCACGTCAAAGTAGGCCCTAAAAGTGTGAAGGTTTGCCGTACAGCCTTTTGTAGCCTGCATGGAATACATAAGTCACGTGTTTTGAGGATTTGTCATTCTAGGGCCTCTGGATCCTTGCTTGAGAAAGATAAGCGTGGAAAACATCAGAATAGACCGAACAAAGTTCCTGACGAAGTGGTTGCTACAGTAAAAAATCACATTGAAAGTTTCCCAGCACGCGAGTCCCACTATTCCAGAAATAAAAATAAGAAAAAATTTCTGCCCGCTGAGTTAAATGTAAAAAAAATGTATGAGCTTTACTTAGAAAAGTATGATTTTGACCAATATTCTCTGTTAAAAAACCATCAAAAAATCAAGCCCAAGGTTACATATGATTTTTACTATCGTTATTTTACGCAAAACTATAACTTATCCTTCGGATATCCCAGAAGTGACACCTGCTCTTCTTGCGACGTAATGAAAATTCGTATTGAAGCTGCCTCGACAGAGGAAGAAAGAAGGGAATTAACAGTCCAGAAGGAAGTGCATCTTCGCAAAGCCCAAGCATTCTATGATGACTTAAAAGAAAAATCAGAACTAGCAGTAACCGATCCCTCTGTCGAAACGATCTGTTTTGATTATCAGCAGAACCTACCACTTCCTGTTTTGACGACTGGTGACATATTCTATGCAAGGCAAATATGGGTTTACAACCAGATGTTCCATTCCTGCTCAAACAACCAATCAGTAAGCTACATGTTTGACGAAATGACTGCAAAAAAGGGTTGCATCGAATCGATTTCTTTTTTAATGCATTTCATAGAGAAATATGTCAGCAAAACTGTCACAACTTTGTACATCTTTACTGACAACTGTGCGGGGCAAAACAAAAATGCGGTAATGGTGCATTTTTTGCTAGCCTTAGTCAGTAATGGAAGATTCAGAAAAATAGTTCATCACTTACCAGAGCCAGGACACAGCTTTTTACCCTGCGATCGAAACTTTGGTCAAATTGAAAAGAAAAAACGCAAGAAAGAGCTTCTTTATTTGCCAGATGAATGGTATGATTTGGTTCAGAGCTGTGGCAAAAAGTTTGTTGTCGAGCGGGTGGAACAAGACATTATATTTGATTTTAAAAGTTATCTTGAACCATATTTTAAGAAGACTTCCGTAATAAAGAAAAAACCATTCACCATTTCAAAGTATAGGATCTTCATCTATGATTCTGTTCAACCTGATCAAGTGCTTGTTACAGAAACTCACAATATTGCTCTTGTCGTCGGATATCCTTTGTATAAATCTCCAGGTACCAAAATCGATTTACATGTGGCTCCTTTAGCATACCATGAGAAGTTAGCCTTAAAAACCAAAAAGTATGACAGCATAATGCCTATTGTCAAAAAATATGTTCCACCTATTTATTTGGAATATTATAATACAATAAAACGGGCAGCAGATGAGAATAATGCCGAAGATTCCGATTGATTTTATCTTAAATGTATCTAGTTTACTTTTCTCTACACTTACTTGTATAAAGCTATGTTGAAGACCGTAGTTATTTGATCTAATCATTAAAATTACATATTTTGTAATTCAATTTGTGTTTTTTTTTTTGCTTTATTGGTGGCAACAACCGGCCACGTGCATCTTAAGATGTGAAATAAAAACTTTGTCATTAGCAATATAAAGTGGAAAAATATAGTGTCTTGTTAAGTTTTTAGTTAGCAATTAAACGAAACATACCAAAAAAATATGTCTTGGAAATTAGACGAATGGTACGTTTTTCTCAATTATCTCAAAACTAGGTTCCATGCACGTGACCGATTATTGCACCAAGCTCTTCAATTTCAAAACTCGAATGGGAATAGAGTGTATTGATAGAAGGAAAGCTTGGATATTAAATCTGGAAAGCCAATAACAAAGTATATGCAAGTGTGTTCTCTCCATTTTACAGAAGAGGACTATCTTCAAAAAGGTGAGAACTTCTGTTTTATTAAAATGAAATATAATAATTAAATTTTATAGGAACAAAGACAAATAGAGGGCGGGTTTTGAAAAGATTTGCTGTGCCTACTAAAAATTTGCCTACATTGCCGGGGCCTCCTAAAGCAAGTACATCTACAAGCCGCTCAGAAAGATATACAAGAAGATCTGATCTTGCAGGACCGAGTGAAGGACCTTTACTGGAGAATGAACTGCATGATCATGCTGATATGGATATAGACAATTATTCTGAGGAAGATCTCCAAACTGCAAGAACATTATTAACATTACTAGAAACTAATGAAAATGTTACAGAAGATGAAATTAATAATGCTTCAATTTTGAAGCGTGATGAATCGGTTCAAGTGAATACATTCAAAATTTGTACTCTTTGCGATTTGATAAAAACTGATGTTGCATTGAGAAGTTTTACTGGAATAAATAATTTTGAAATTTTTGATATTCTTCTTGAAAACATAAAGCTTGTGCATCATGATACAAGAACACATAGACTTAATGTTAAAGAGAGACTTATGCTCACTATGACCAAATTACAACTGGATTTGTCATATCACTCTAGGAATGTTGTTCAATGTATCAGGGCAGCTATGCAAAACATATTTTTATCAATTTTTGAGTGTTTTAAGTGAAATTTTAAAAACTTGCATTTATTTTCCTTCTGATGAAGAGATCTCGAAAAACATGCCAACATGTTTCAAAGATTTCAAGAATTTTAGGATAATACTGGATTGCACAGAAATGTTTGTTCAAAAACCAACTTGTTTATGTTGTAGAATTAAATTTTATTCTCAATACAAGAAAAGTACTACCATTAAATTTATGACTGGCGTTTCTCCAGCGGGAATTATTACATTTGTGAGTAAAGCTTATGGCGGTAGAGCATCAGACAAACTAATTTTTGAGGAAAGCAAACTGATAAGTTTATTATGCTCAAATATTGATGCAGTAATGGTGGATAAGGGATTTTTAATTGAAGACATTTGTGCAATATATAATATTAAATTAATTAGGCCTCCTTTTCTAAGAAAAAAAAAAAACAATTAACAGCTGGAGAAGCTCTTAAAAATCGACAGATTGCTTCAGCCAGAGTTCACATTGAAAGGTCTAATCAAAGACTTAAAATTTTCAAAATTATTAGTGGAAAATTGCAGTGGTCACTTGTGCCAAAAATTGAAGAGATTTTTACAATCATTTGTGGAATCACTAATCTTTCATCACCCATTCTTGCTGATGAAAGATTTTTTTAACTTTTTTTATATAGTTTTTTAGGGTAGGTACATTCATCAATGCAGTTTTACCTGTAATACTTTTTTTATTTTATTTTAATTGACTCTTTTGTCTTTATTTTAACGTTAGTATTAGTCACTGTAATTTTAGCATTTATCGGTCTGTTTTTCTTTTAAATAATATGTATAGTACTCAGCGAAATTTTTGTATTTTTAAGATAAATGTGAGATTTATTTATATGACTTTTGTAAAATACAATAATTGTATTTATAACACCAATAAACTATTTGTACGAACTTTATCGTGTAAATTATTTTTTGGTGATTTGTGAAATTGAGTTTTATTTTCTTCCTTGAAATACAAAATCCTGTGCAAAAAATATAGACCTCACAAAAGTAATTCCTTGTTAGGTATCTAATAAAAACCACAATTTAGTTGGAAATTTTGTTTTATTCAAGATAACATAAGTAACTACCTACCACAAATACATTTATAATATTCATTTTCTACAATGTACTATGTACTGTAGAAAAATTCACGATGTATTCTTTTTCACAAGTAAAACAAACCTTCCTTTCCCACCACTTTTATGTACATAAATAAAATAATTTCAAATAAAACCATGCTTCTTAAATACATTTTTTTTTAAATAACAATACCTATATTTATTTTAAACAAAAGCATTGGATATGCAGCAGAGCTGGGCAGGGCTTGAGTGCTTGTGAAAGTGCTTTGAAGCACTTTGAGGACTTGAAAGCCCTGTGCTTCAAGCCCTTTTTTATAATTGTAATTGGGGCTTGCAAAGTCAATTACTCTAGAAAACTGCTTGTTAATTTGTAATTGGAAAAAGTAATTCAAGCCCTTTCAATGAGCTTCAATTACTTTTAGAGGGCTTGCAGCACTTTTGGGTGCTTGAAGCCCTCTGAAAGGGCTTGAAGCACTTTAAAAGGGCTTGAAGCACTTTGAAAGGAATTTGGAATTGACCATCATTTATCCTATCCCCCACCTAAAAATTTTCGATCGATATGTTTTGTCGCTTAATTTTTTTTTTCTATTATTTGAACTAGAACCGTCCAATGTCTTTTCTCTCTTAACAATGGAGGTTTTGGGTTTCAGCTTAGAATTGAATTTAAAAAAAAAGTGAATGAAATGATAATAAATAATTAATTTATATTGGTACCCTATTTTAAGTTTATCACTGGAGATTTTTTCACTTTTCTTCATTAAACATTCTGAAAACCTTAAAATTGAATTACCATTTATAGTACCCCAAGTACCCCAGAACTATATCTCAAAAAAAAAAAAAACTACTGCTACTCTGTGAAATTTAATGTTCATCTCTACTGTACTAATTCAACTGATGAGTGCACGCGGTAGCTTATGCCTCTTTGAGAATTTTAATACAAATTCAAAGTGCTTTAGGCACATTTAAAGGGCTTCAAGTACATTTAAAGAGCTTCAAGCACATTTAAAGAGCTTGAAGCACATTTAAAGAACATCAAGCACATTTAAAGAGCTTGAAAGCCCTTTTTAAGGCCCAAGCGCTTTTGATGTGCTTCAAGCACTTTTAAAATCACTTTGAGGGCTTTGTGCTTGCCGAGCCCAAAGCACTTTGAGGGCTTTGTGCTTGTGAAGCACTTTTGAAAAAAAAAGGAATTTGCGCTTGAAATTGAAGCACTTTGATAGAGGGCTTAGGGCTTAGTGCTTCAAGCCCTTTTACTGAGGGCTTTGCCTAGCTCTGATGCAGTCAATAATTCTCTTAGGACCCATAAAATATTTCAAGTTCACTAAAGCTAAAGGATGAAAACAGAGAAAATACCAAAAACATATTAGAAGCTGTACCACCATCACAATTGATTTTAAATACATGTTTTGTTGGTATTATTTTAAGTTTTATAAAAGGCAACGTGTCGACAAGAGATTGTGTTAATTTTAATTAAAATTGTCAATATTCATTTAATTGAAGAAATGAATATTGACAATTATAATTAAAATAAACACGATATCTTGTTGAAACGTTGCCTTTTATAGTACTTGATATAACACCAGTCGCAGGAAAAATGTATGTAAAATCACATACACACAATGCTGAAAGTCCTTTCTGCATTGATCAAACTTAAACATCACAAATAGAGTGGATCATTTTTGAAAAATAATTTATTTTACCTTTGGTTAACATTTCCAAGGCAAATTCGAAATCAAAATCAATTTCTATTATCATCAAAGATATGTCAAATGATGCATACAACACTAAAAAGCATTTCGACACATTCAACATTCCCATGCCTAATTGAACTTGCCCATAGTATTTATGTTTTTGCCTCAACTGATACACACCGTTTTCTTTTTTCAAATAGCCACATGATGGAAGAGTTTCTTCAATGGAAGCTTTACTATCTACAAAAAAAAAATTAATAAGTTAAATTACTTATCTATCTCAAAAAAGTTACCCTCAAATAAACATTTTATTTCCAAAAGAGCTACTGGATATCCGTCCACATCAACCACAATACCATCAGGAGAAAAGCCTAGCCATTTATTCTGTGGAGAAATGACCATCCCACATTCTACAACTCTATGTCCAGTTTTATTGACAAAAGTTGTACGAGCATCCTTTTCGTACTTCAGCCCATGTTTAACATATTTGTTTGTGAAACTTTTTGGCCAAAAATACTTCTGACTTTTGGATTCCCAACACGTCCCTTTATATGTATATATTTCGTAGCATCTTGAGCCAGTTATGCGAAACTGACGAGCATTATGCCATTCAGAAGACATCTGGCTCAATTCTATCATCTCACTTGCTGACTCATTCAAGAGGTTACAAAAAACACCCTCACAACAAGCGAAAGAGAACAGAGAAGGCATGGAATGTATTTCCATCATCAGCACAGATTGGGCAGCATTGTCTAGAATCTTCACAAATTCCGATGTCATGGCAATATTTTTGTCTAGTGCAACTACATTTGCACCAGAGTTTGCACTGTCATCGCTATGACGTCCTTTCCTAAAAAGAACAATAATGAATTAGTTAGTTGGGAAAAATTATATTTAGTAATCTTACGAATGCTTTGCAATTGCTGAATTGGGGAGTTTTTTCATAAAGGACTCCAATATTGTTTTCTTCAAATCATAATTTATGTTAACAGGTAGATTCTTCCCTAGTTTAGGTTTAATACAGGGCATTTCTGTAACACAGATTGCCTTATATTTCTCCTTAACGGATTCCTTGGAATCCGTCCAAATGCAGCTCAACTGCGTTTTGGAAATGTCTTCCAATTCAGATAGATTTTTCCTGGAATAAAAAACACAAATAAATAAAATAATTTAAATGGCTTAATAACGCCAACTTTTCGGAATGTGAAGTATGTACCTTGTTAATAAAATCAAAAATGCAGAAATGTGTTTGCATTTTCCTCCGGCTCCAGCTTTGCAAGTACAATGCATATTGAAAATTTTAGCTGCACCATTAGAAATTTTCAGTTCACCAGTGATTTGGTGTGGATGGGACTGCAATGCACTAGTTTGCAGGCAAACTGCACATATTTTGATTGATGTTGGGCTGCAATCAGTTCGACCATGTAATACAATGTGGCCAGCATTGAGGACTTCCTCTCCCTCGATCAAACATCTTGAACTCGTGGTGGCTTCAATATAAGACATATATTCAGCCAAACTCAATGGTTTATCAGCCATGATTCACAAAGCAAAAGTACTACAAGCAAATTAAGAATTTGAATTCATAGGCAGGTGTGCACATTAAACTAAACTTACCTTATTGTTTCCACACAAATTCAATTAAATAATATTAAATATACAGGGTATCCCAAAAAGATACCGACAAACTTTAAGGGGTAGTAGGGGACATCAAAACAAGCATTTTTGTTTATATAAACATATGTCCGCAAATGAGCCATTTGGCCTGTAGAGCAAAAAAACTGTTTGGTATCTAGTTTTATTCTTCGCAATAATTAAATCACTGTTTACTTATTAATTTTGCTTTAATAGCAAATAAATTATGGTTTACAATAATTGTTCAACTCGCGAACTCTTTGAAATATTCCGGGAATAGCTTCTAAATGGGTACAACTCGCCAGTATCTTTGCTATCAGATCTTCCTCATTACGAACAGGTGTTTCGTAGACTAAACTTTTCAGTCAATGACCCGACGGTGTAATCTTTGCATTGAAGTAAATGGTCAACATTTTGAACAATTATTGTAAACCATAATTTATTTGATAATAAAGCAAAATTAATAAGTAAACAGTGATTCAATTATTGCGAAGAATAAAAGTATAAAACAGTTTTTTTGCTCTACAGCCCAAATGGCTCATTTGCGGACATATTATGTTTATATAAACAAAAATGCTTGTTTTGATGTCCCCTACTACCCCTTAAAGTTTGTCGGCATCTTTCTGGGACACCCTGTAGTTCATAAAGTTCAAAATCAAATAAAAAAACGCCAAAAAATACACCAGAAGCAAAGGAGCACCAACACATACGAAAAAAAGAACAAAAATAATCAAACACGACTATTTTCTGATAAAAATATCACGCTACTAAAACTAAGGTTATGAAATCATCCACGACAAACAGTTTCACCGATCGACCACCGCGGCGCTACGATCTTAATTTGAAACGCCAATTGGTTTAATTTCAATTTCAAACTGTCAATTTTAAAAAAAGCAGGTTCCGGTATGTACATTATAGGAAATTACCGTAAGCTGTTGATAGAGGGCAGCACTTCCGACAAGAGAAAATAATTTGAGCACAGGTTTCAAACCTATTTTTTATTTTCTACTAACAGTAGTAAAAAAATTCTATATATCCCTCGGTAGAGAAAGTCATTATATACCTTACAATCAGGGTACTATTCCTAAGGAAATGTTTCTGGCGACAGAAATAGCGTCCAATGGTGTTGACATAGCTATCTTTTTGGTGTTTTTTTTTTCCTCTGTGTGTAACCCCCAGAGAATTTCCAACCCGGAACTTTTGCTGATCAATTTGAGAATGTTTCAAGCATTGTCATAGACCCAACCGATATTGAGAGGGCTTCAAAGCAAATGGATATCAACAAGTCTGCAGGACCTGATGGTATTCCTAACAAAGTACTAAAATTTTGTTCTAACACTTTGTATCTTCCTCTATTTATTATTTTTAACAAATCCTTAAACTCTGGAACTTTTCCAGAAATGTGGAAGCTCTCTTATATTTGTCCTATTCACAAGTCGGGAAGCAAGAATGATGTACTTAATATAATAAAGACCTATCAGCATCCTGTCTGCAATTCCTAAATTATTTGAGCAGTGCGTTGGAAATATTCTTTCAAAAATATTTCATCAGATTGTGATCAGTCAAAAGCATGGGTTTACAGCCAGTAGATCTGTTGATCGAACCTGTTTCTCTTTACAAACTTCATCATTTCATCATTTGATAACAATACAGAAACTCATGCAATATATACTGACTTCAGTAAAGCCTTTGATAAGGTAAACCATAACATCCTTCTTTCAAAGCCAAAGCTCTCAAGTTATGGTGTTTGTGGACCCTTACTTTTATGGATGAAATCTTACCTTACTAACAGAATACAACAATTCAAGATCGATAGCTATCTTTCTTCTCTTTCCCATGCATCCTCTGGGGCACTTCAAGGCTCTCACTTTATTTATTAATGATTTAGGATCGTTGCTCTCCTAGAATTTTTTACTCTTCGCTTATGACTTGAAGTTGTATCGTCAGGTGACGTCAGCTCAAGACATACTTATTCTGCAAAACGATCCTAACATTAATGACATCTTCCTCAACATTGATATAAGTGTTGTATATTATTCAGTAGACTCACCTGTAAGGTTCCCTTTCAGTATTGCTTAGGTGATGTTCGCTTGTCTGAACTTTCTGTCATCAAAGATCCTGGTGTCTATCTAGATTCTAGATACTAGGTTAATGTTCACCAAGCATTTCGTAGTGGTAATTGGCAGGGCTAATAGAATGTTGGGTTTTATTGAGAGAGCTACTGGGACTTTACAAGTATATGCCCCATCAAAATTCTTTATACATCACTGATCAGATTCGTTCTTGATGTCTGTTTTGCTTTTAATATCCTTAACTACTACCTACATAAAAAGCCACGAATTTCTTGGATGCTTTTATCTACACAGTCAAATTTATCGGACACGAAGTAAATTTTTACTGCACATTCCTTACTTGGTACTTACTATTCAGTCCTGTTGATAGAATATCTGCCAATGTAAATAAGTTCTATGAGGGTCTTCACTTTTTTTATTTTATCACAGGATAAATTCAAGACGCAGGCCAAGGGAATTGTTTTGGGTTAGATTTTCAGATTATTTTAGATTTGAATTTGGTACCACTTCAAATGTATGTATTTTTTTATACGTGAATAAATAAATAAATAAATAAATTAGGATGAATTAAATTTTTATTTAATTTCGATTAGGCAATTTCCAAAAAAAGCTCTTGGAAATCAAGCTTTGGCAGCAAAAAAACAAATTATCTCATGAAGCAGAATCTGGAGGCAATTATGCCTAAAAAACTGAAAGCGAAACACATCGGCGATGCAGACAGCAAACTTCGAGGTCTTGTAACGCCCCCTGTACGAAAAAATACAAGCCGTTACGTATTTTCGACACGTATTGCAATAGTAGGGGGAAACTTCTTGTAGGTGGCAATTGAATTACTTTGACTTTATGCCAAACGACATGTCTATGAGTTAGGGCCACGATTATACTCAGGAACGGAGTCAAATATTTGATATGAAATTTCAAAATTTATTATAATTAGTAATAAATCAGTTAATAATCTATAAGTAGAGTCTCTCTTTGAGTCTTCAGCTCATTTCACATTGTTCCGCGAATACATATAGGTTTTTCAAAAAACAATTCATCAACTACACCATTTCAACCTCAATTTCAGAAAAAGTAAAGTTAATTTCGGAAAAAGTAAATTCAAATTCGGAAAATGTAAATTCAAATTCGGAAAAAGTGAATTCAAATTCGGAAAAAATACTTTCAATTACGGAGAAAGTAATGTAATTTTTTATAGAATAATTTGAATTGATTGAGTCATTTATCTATTTAGAAAATCAATTTTTTTTTCTATATTTCTCAAAGAGAACCGATTTTTAAACAATAAAAGAAAGAGAAAAATTACCAAGTCTACAGATTGTTTATTATTTTATTCACTTAATAGTGACATGTGTTTTGCTCATATTATGAGCATCAGCAGACTTACAAAATAATATATAGAACCAATATATGTAGAACCTAATTATAGTACACTGATTGGAATTGAACCCGTCAGGGTACGGGTTCGACTGGAGCTTTATAGTCACTGCTAAATTTACTCTTTATCAATTCGAATTATTCTAAAAAATAACATTACTTTCTCCAGAATTAAATGTACTTTTTCCGAATTTGAATTTACTTTTTCCGAATTTGAATTTACTTTTTCCGAAATTTACTTTACTTTTTCTGAAATTGATTGGACTTTTTCCGGAAATGACCTTACATTTTCCTAAATAAAAGTTACTTTTTCCGAAATTGAGGTTGAAATGGTGTAGAGTAAAATTATTTTTATCAATTTACAAAAATCTTCAATGTCGAACTCTTCTCAAACTTCAGCTAGCATGACTTATAGTAAAGAATTTACTGCTTAGTTATGTTATCCATGCTTTCATCTTATTCAAATTTTTCGACAGTCGAGAGACACGTATATTTTATGAACCAACGCCAAAGGATATCGCTTACTATAAGCTCAAGGAAATGAGGACGACATCTAGTTTTGCTTATTGCACGAGCCAGATCCGCTTGCTGGAAAATACAATTTTTGATATCTATAACTGCAACTCCGGAAAAAGCAAATACGTTTTTGATGACATTATCTTCTGTGTTTGTTATTTAAGTCAGATGGTACCCCGTCTCACTAAAAACCAAGCGCAATTGAAAACTTTCATTGAGTGGCAGAAATCGAATCGTTCTGCTGCCGTGTTGCAAAAACTGAACTATGTACGGTTTAAGAGCCAAACATCGCTGTAAAACTAAACAATTATTTGATGAGTAATGCCAGGCTATCTCTTTGCGTGCTGCAGATGATGAACCACTGACAAATATTTCCTCAGATGTGCAGGATGGACTTTCAACGGCACACAAGCTTCTCTGCTCAGATAGTAGAAGCTGCAAAGTAATTCGTACTGATGTGATGACATCTCCTGGCATGCAATAGTATATTACATGCAGATGTGGAAAGTGTTTTATTATTGTCGAGAGATTTTATGAAACTTTCAACCGAGACATTATTAAACTTTCAACCGAGATATATATACTTTTTTATTTACAATCATTCGATTTTTGTAATTTTTATTTGAATGAAAATTGAAAAAATACAATTTTTAACAATTTCATTCACTTTCGGCCCACGGGAGGAAAGTAAACTTTCGACCCGTGGGTGGAAAGTGAAAGTCAAAAAATACAATAAATTTTAACAATTTCATCCACTTTCGGCCCACGGGAGAAAAGTAAAAGTCAAAAAGTGACATTTTCAAACTTTGTAAAAGTCAGAAAAGTCAACATGTATGATTGTGAAGAAACAGGTGGTTCATCCAAATACGATTTGAAGTTTTGGAACTACTGCACTTTCAAATAAGGACAAGGTTTTACAGCAGCACCATGTAGTTTTTC